CCCCGCCACACCATTCCTAATATATGATTTTACATCGATTTTAGTTATTTTGAAATAATTTCCTGATGTAAATATGCCCTTTGTGTCCCCTAGAAACAGAACTAACTGGAGCAAGGGATAAAGGAGAAGCAAGTTCCATGTAGGAATTTTGCTCAGATGCCACTTTTAACATGCAAATAGCAATGTAGAATATAGATATGTAAGTGCAGTCTCAATCCCACAGCAACCTCTCTAAAATAACCCTTCACTCGGGATGCAGCTGATTATATCCCCGCTAATTCACTTCCTGCAGTGCACAGCCACCTGTGGCGGGGGCATCCAGCGGCGACAGGTGAAGTGCATGAACACAAAAACTGGAGAAGCGGAAGAAGACAGCAGCCTGTGTGACCATGAACAGTGGCCAGAGAACACCCAGAAGTGCAATCCCCAGGACTGTGACAATACTGAGTCAAGTAAGTGTTGAAATACTGATACATGGTAGTACAGTCATATGGCTTCGAAAACTCCACCCACAAATGTCATGACTCAAACACTCTCTTGCCAGTGAAATTCACGTGACATTTTTCCTCTTTGAGCAGCTCATGCTGCATGAGGGCTTGTGCCAGGGTTTCCAGTGTAGAAATCCTGCATTTCATAAACGCAGTCGAGGCTTGGTTACGATCTGAGGGGATTGTAGGTGGTTCAGCTTTGTTTTCAATTAAGAAACTGTACTGAACGTGGGGGTTGTGTTCAGAGTCCATATTTGCTGACAGTCGTTCTGTATGCCAGTGCAATCCAGTGTATAACCCTAACGTGGTGCCATAAAAGCCAACTGGACTCTCAGTTTGGAGACCTGTTAGGAAAGCTATAAGCAACCACATTCCCGTCCGGAATTAGGATTGCTAATAATCTGAAGTTTGATAGGAGATTACATGAAAGTGGACTTGTGTAACAATGGGCTCACTTCAGATAAGTGCAAGTGTCCTAGCAGTCACAACACACAGAACCTGGGCCTTCTCGTCAGTTTGTATAAATCGGTAACTTCCTTCCCTACAATGAGCCCTGATGATTTACACTGACTGCGGGTCTGGCCTCAGGCACAGGGCTGTTGGTCAGCTGTAGCGCCAATTATATTTATATGACACAATAGGATTGGCTTTAAAACCGTTCCTGTTACCGTTTGCTGTACAGGCGAGTTGGGCTTTGGGGGGCTGGTGCTTCAAGGTGCTGAACTCTGTGGCCAAGTCAGCAAAAGCACTTCAGTCAATGGCACTGCTCGCATGCGTAAACTTAAACCCATGCCTAAGTCATGGCTGGATCAGGGCGGACTGAGCCCTTTGCAAGGTTTTCCTTGTGACCCTGCACTTCGCTGTAGGTAATGTCCAATGCAAGTCGGAATTTAGAAATAGCATGAAGGCATGGTATTACCGGGCCTGGAAACGGCTGGCTACTCGCAAAGCAGATGTTGCCCGAGGTTATCCCATTTTTGTCTCAGCCGTGTTTAATAACAGGGTAGCCACTGAACCGTCCTCAGCAGGTGGGGTTTTGACAAGTGCTCCCGCACCAGCCTAACTCTGCTCTGACTGAAATCAAAAGGCATTTGGCCAGGGATGTCCAGGAGAGCGGGTAGGTCAGCCGCAATTGGAAATCCCTCACTGACTTTGCTGAGTGTGTCTGTGTCTGAGATGAAGTATTTGATTCTGAGCAAATGGAGCAGACATTTGAATTTACTTGGGGGGAGAAAACAGGCTGAATCATTTGCTGAACATCCAGGCCCCCACCCAGCCGTCTCATTTGCTTTCTTCATTCTCTCACTGAGGCTGGTGAGCGTGTAAAATAAACATTACTAGTGGCTTATACGGTGTAACTGTTGGCCAGCTGCAGCTCTCCCCACTCCATGAGGAATCAGGCAGGGCATGAGGAAGATTCACTTCAGATGTGCAATGTACAGTGGGTCATCAGAAAAGACAGCCTGCTAAGCATCAGTGCAGTGAACTGGCCGTAGTACCGATTCACACATACAGGAGAAGCCCCCTCAATCTTGTGTTTTATGAAGGGGTAAAATAAGTTCCAGGTTTACACTCCACACATCTGTGCAGTAATACAACAGCCACATCTCCTGTGGGGCAGCGGTTCTCAAACTTCGTTACATCGCGACCCCCTTCTGATAACAAAAATTACTGCACTGTCGCAGGAGGGGGGACCGAACCCTGAGCCCACCTGAGCCCCGCTGCCTAGAGCAGGGTGGCCAGAGACAGCCAAGCCCCAAGGGTTTCAGCCCTGGGGGAAAGGCCTGAAACTTGAGCCCCACTGCCCTCAGGTTTCAGCATCAGCTCTGGGACCCAGCAAATCCTACACCAGTCCTGGTGACTCCATTAAAATGGGGTGGTGACCCACGTTGACGCCCCGGCCAGTGTTCCCTGTAAGCTGGGCGCTTGTGCAGCCACTCAGGAGAGATTCAAATGCTGCCCAGCTCATTAGCAGAGCACCCACAGCTGGGTTTTTGTTTCGACTGGTGGTGCACATTCACACATCCCTTGATGCACAGAAAAATGTATTCCTCACATGATGGAAAAAACCTGCACAAAAGATTAGAGGGAACATTGGTCCTGACGGCTGGATCAGGGTGGAATATTGAGCAGCTTGGAGGACTGAGCCCTTTGCAAGGTTTTCCTTGTGACCCTGCACTTCGCTGTAGGTAATGTCCAATGCAAGTCGGAATTTAGAAATAGCATGAAGGCATGGTATTACCGGGCCTGGAAACGGCTGGCTACTCGCAAAGCAGATGTTGCCCGAGGTTATCCCATTTTTGTCTCAGCCGTGTTTAATAACAGGGTAGCCACTGAACCGTCCTCAGCAGGTGGGGTTTTGACAAGTGCTCCCGCACCAGCCTAACTCTGCTCTGACTGAAATCAAAAGGCATTTGGCCAGGGATGTCCAGGAGAGCGGGTAGGTCAGCCGCAATTGGAAATCCCTCACTGACTTTGCTGAGTGTGTCTGTGTCTGAGATGAAGTATTTGATTCTGAGCAAATGGAGCAGACATTTGAATTTACTTGGGGGGAGAAAACAGGCTGAATCATTTGCTGAACATCCAGGCCCCCACCCAGCCGTCTCATTTGCTTTCTTCATTCTCTCACTGAGGCTGGTGAGCGTGTAAAATAAACATTACTAGTGGCTTATACGGTGTAACTGTTGGCCAGCTGCAGCTCTCCCCACTCCATGAGGAATCAGGCAGGGCATGAGGAAGATTCACTTCAGATGTGCAATGTACAGTGGGTCATCAGAAAAGACAGCCTGCTAAGCATCAGTGCAGTGAACTGGCCGTAGTACCGATTCACACATACAGGAGAAGCCCCCTCAATCTTGTGTTTTATGAAGGGGTAAAATAAGTTCCAGGTTTACACTCCACACATCTGTGCAGTAATACAACAGCCACATCTCCTGTGGGGCAGCGGTTCTCAAACTTCGTTACATCGCGACCCCCTTCTGATAACAAAAATTACTGCACTGTCGCAGGAGGGGGGACCGAACCCTGAGCCCACCTGAGCCCCGCTGCCTAGAGCAGGGTGGCCAGAGACAGCCAAGCCCCAAGGGTTTCAGCCCTGGGGGAAAGGCCTGAAACTTGAGCCCCACTGCCCTCAGGTTTCAGCATCAGCTCTGGGACCCAGCAAATCCTACACCAGTCCTGGTGACTCCATTAAAATGGGGTGGTGACCCACGTTGACGCCCCGGCCAGTGTTCCCTGTAAGCTGGGCGCTTGTGCAGCCACTCAGGAGAGATTCAAATGCTGCCCAGCTCATTAGCAGAGCACCCACAGCTGGGTTTTTGTTTCGACTGGTGGTGCACATTCACACATCCCTTGATGCACAGAAAAATGTATTCCTCACATGATGGAAAAAACCTGCACAAAAGATTAGAGGGAACATTGGTCCTGACCCACAGTTTGGAACCCCTGCTGTGGAGATTGGACCTAGACTGTACTAGCCAGTTAAATGTAACAAACTAGTAACGAGATCAAACAGCACGGATCTGAGATCCCACAACACTTTCTATAATGAGTATAGGGAAAACCCGCCTGTGTCATTTCACACACTGTCAGTAAATGTTAAAATGGCAGGCGCTTGTTTGGGTTTTTGGTCTCCTTGTCCCTTACAAAGCTGTACTTTGAAGAGGACTGAAAAGCACATTGGAACGCAGTGCATTTTTCTAGTGGAACTTAAGGCCGCCCCTTGTTCGTGTTAACTTATCCCCACATTTCACGTGTGAGCCCCTCAAGGTAACTACTAACCAGGGGGAACAAACAGATGGTGGCTGGTATCTGAAAGACAGCGGGCAAACCTAATGAATCTGTTAGCGGGAAAGTCGAGCCTCTGTCTCCACCATGGCTCTATAGAATGTTGCTCCGCAAAGTGGAGCCAACACAGTGCTGCTCTGTTTGAATCTGGAAGGGAGCAATATAAAGAGGAAGGTTTGGGCAGCCCCGTGGCATGGACAGCCCAGAACAGGGGCTGCCACCGTCGCAATGCACATGGGGTGGTGCTGTTGGATCAGAGGCGCATAGACCTTCCTGCCCTACAGAGGAGGCACAGTGGCAGCTGCTGCAGAAGCAGGGAGGGGAAAGAGGTTGTTTTTTCCCTCAGCCCTTCAGTGCGACTCGGAATCCAGCCCGGCGGCTCTGGCAGGTCGATGGCCTGAGGATACGTGCCTTTCCAAGCTATATTCCTTTGTTAACTGTGTCAGGAGCGGCCATCGTTCGTTTTATGCAAGGCCTTAAAGTAGTTCTAGGACCTTCATTATTAACCCCTGATCCTTTATTCTCTTTCTCTGCCCCCTTCCTCGTAGCGAGACACTTGAACCATGGCATGTTAGTGGGAAAAGTTTAGTCCCCTTTCAGATCCAGGAAAGTGTGAACGGGAGAGTTTTGCCCAGTTTGGATATTTTCACATGTGTCTGTGTGGGAGGGGTGTCAAGAGTGAAATTAACGTAGCTTTCTGAAGGATGCTAATGCAGTTGGGATGGGAGTCTGGTCTTTAAAATAATATAGTGCAGAACAATGATAAGAGGAACCTCCTCCTCAGCTGGAACATTCCCTTTCACCTGGCTCACTACTCTTGACTAACTGCAGTTTTCCCCTATTAATAGAAAGAGCTTTCGGCTACGTTTTAGTCCTTTCCATGTGAAATTGAATGGCCAGAGATTTGGGGCATGTTTTTTAAACAGGCTGCAAACAGCATGTGTTTTTCAGCTCCCCAAATCTGAGTAGCCTAGCAGATGGGTGTGCGGGTCTGCAGTGTCGTGGGCGGGAGTTGTTTTAGACCGGCATATCTAGCTTGGCAAGCAGCAGACATGCACATGGGTCCAATCCGTGTACTCCAAGGGCTTGTGTCATTACAAGGAAAACAGCAGAGAGAGAAATGTTGCCAATAATGAACCTCAGGCAATTGATAGTCTTTGTGGATGGAAAATCATACA